ACTGTCGTCACTTTTGGGCTCCTCAAGCCTGAATTTGGAGGAAGTCTAAGGCGGGAGCCTCGTCTGTGAGTGAATTCTGAGGAAGGCTCAGGCGGGAGCACCCTCCCTATGGGGCCCGCAGATCATGTTGGTAATCCGAGCGGGTCATCGGAACCTGTAACTGTCGTCACTTTTGGGCTCCTCAAGCCTGAACTTGGAGGAAATCTCAGGCGGGAGCCTCGTCTGTGAGTGAATTCTGAGGAAGGCTCACGCGGGAGCCCCCTCCCTATGGGGCCCGCAGATCATGTTGGTAATCCGAGCGGGTCATCGGAACCTTGTAACTGTCGTCATTTTTGGGCTCCTCAAGCCTGAAAATGGAGGAAGTCTCAGGCGGGAGCCTCGTCTGTGAGTGAATTGGGAGGAAGTCTCAGGCGGGAGCTCCCTCCCTATGGGGCCCGCAGATCATGTTGGTAATCCGAGCAGGTCATCCAAAACCTGTAACTGTCGTCAATGTTGGGTTCTCGCGCTGCCAGAACGCAGTTCCCAGGCCACACTTTGGATGCAACAAGGAAGTTTTTGGGCTCCTCAGGTCGCCGAGGTGCTGCGACAGGGCGCCGAAGGCGCCGACGACGACGGCCAGGCCGAGGCGCGGACGCGGAGCTTGCTGATGTTCAGGCCCAGCGAAAGGGAGTTCACATGGCAGAGCTCGGGGGCGCACAGCGTGCGCCGCTCGGGGTTCACCCTGACGCACGCGTCCTACCTAACCTCCACGCTGTCGCAGGGCCAGACGCTGCGCAAGGGCGTCACCATCGACTGCGCGAGAGACGAGGACGCTGGCCGCACGGGCATGTCGGACGAGCAGTGGTGGCTGCACCTCTACGTAATGTTCTCCCGCGCCACGTGCATGCGGAACATGCTGATCCTGCGGCCGCCGCCGCGAGAGTTCCTGGAGTGCGGGCCGCCGGCGTCCCTGCGGAAGGCGCTCCTGGAGTTCGACAAGAGAACGGTTTTGTCCAGGGCGGAGGCGAAGCAGCTCGCGGCAGAGCTGTGCTTCGTGCTGCCTTCCGCCTGAGCGCGGCTGCGCCTCGCTCGAAGCCCGCGGGGTTGTCCCAACGGCTTGGTCTTGCGCGCCAACGGCTCGCGGGGTTGTCCCGCCAGCCTGGCCCGCGGGGTTGTCCCAACGGCTGCGCGACGTGACCTGTAGAGAACGCGCCTGTGCTGGCCGTGGCGGCGACGGCGCCGAGGAACATCGACATGCGCGCTCATGCAACAGGAAGGGGAGGAGGTGGCGGGGCGCGGAACAGACAGGGGGGCGAGGATGGGGACAACGTAAGGAGTGGAAGGGGGCCCGCGCCAAGGCGAGAGGAAATATACGCAGAAGAGACAGCCAGGACGCCTCACCAACCACGAGGACGACGGTGATGGCTTTTTCCAGATTCGCCCAGAGGATTCTTATGTGGGGTTCTTCCGTCGGAGTAATTCCCACAGACTTCCTCCCGGGCGCACCGCCGATGCTGTCTCTGCCTCTGCCTCTCTCTCTCTCTCTCTCTCTCTCTCTCTCCCCCCTTGCCGTCGCTCGGGCGGCCATCCCCCGTGCCATCTCTGGCCTCGTGCAGGGCTCTGCCTGCGAAACGGTCCAGGATGCTCTCCGAAGGCCCTCGCCGAGAACAGCTGCACACGTCCAAGCGTTGCCAAGTCTCTATGTGTTTTTTGTTTCTTCTCTCTCTCTCTCTCTCTCTCTCTCTCTCTCTCCCCCCCCTCTCTCTCTCTATATATATATATATCTTACCCTTCCCCCCACCCTCTTTCTGCCCCCGTGCCCCGACACCAAGGTCCGCTGCCTCCCTCCCGCCTCCTGCTGTGCTGCTGCTTCTGCTCTGCCCGGCGGGC